CAATATTTACTCGTAGTTATCCCTATGTTTTTTATATGAGAGACTAAATTAAATTATAATTATTTTTGGTCCTAATTTGTGCCTAAATTACAAATTAAACAGAACGCTGTTGTAATTAAACATAAATATGTCAAAATGATCCTAAAAATCAACATTTTTCAACATAAAATTTACAAATTAAGTGAACTTTTGGGAATTGAAATTAAGTTCCGTTAGATGTTCAAAATATCACCGTGTCCGTCGTAGGAACAGCGGTTAAAAGTTTTGCAAAGTGTGGGATTGAACTATTTAACACGGATGTGTTTGATGATGTTGAGTTTGCATCTGCCGCAGTAAGTGAACGCAAAAGAAACATTACGGCGGATGACCAAGAATCAGATTCATATGAAGCTAAAGAACACGCCGATAACTCAAAGAAGGTATGTGGAACTCACTACTCAACTTACCGACATGCAGTCAGCGTCCCAGGTTTCGTCAGATGATGATGATGAACCGTTAATTTATTTAACAGACCAACGCAAAACGTGCAAACAGCTTCTCTGTTTGCATAATAGGTACGGTCTGCCTATATGAGTAGTAGGAAGACAGTCCTCGAGATAGTTAGTGGTGGTAGACTACAATTTTCTGACTGGTAGGTAATGACTATGTGGCGGATTGATCTATCCAAAAAAAATCTTTATGGGTATTTCGCCACTGCATTGCAAGAAAATCTACAAAATAAAATAGTTATTTTTTGTAAACACTTCTGGCGTTAAACCTAAACGGACATTGCTTGTCAGAAGTTATGTTTACAGTTATACAAATTTGCCTAACAAAGAAAAAAATGCTTAAAGTTTCGGAAAGTTTATCTCTTTCCGTCGTCGGAAGCAAAAAAATACAAATAATAAAGAAAAAAACTATTTAAAATATTTAAATTCAACTATCCGAGAACACTTTACTTTTTTAAAACAGATACGTCTACAAGAAACCATTGTAACGGTTTGTTGTAATATTAACTAACTTCATTACAATTTTTACCGTAATTCTTAACTTCATACACGAAACCGTTGTAACGGTTTCTTGTAGACGTATCTGTTTTAAAAAAAAAGTGTTCTCGAATAGTTTAATTTAAATATTTTAAATAGTCCTTTTCTTTATTCTTTGTATTTTTATTGCTTCCGACGACGGAAAGAGAGAAACTTTCCGAAACGTTAAGCATTTTTTTCTTTGTTAGGCAAATTTGTATAACTGTAAACATAACTGCTGACAAGCAGTGTCCGTTTAGGTTTAACGCAGAAGTGTTTACAAAAAATAACTGTTTTATTTTGTAATTTTCTTGCAGTGCAGTGGCGAAATTCCCATAAAGAATTATGTTTTCAAAATAACATTAATAAGGAAAACCAAGAAAACACATTTTCTGAAACACATTTTTGGGCTCAATGCCTAGATGTTCTTTAAAGGATAAACCCTCTTTAGAGGATACTGAAAAAGATTATTTTCCAGTACCAAAAAAAAACAAAAATTAATTCTGACGAAAAAGCCTCGTTAATTTCAAAAATTAATATAATAAGCAATATTAAAGTACGTCCTCCAAATCTATCTAAAATAGAAGACTATATAGCCATTGACCTGCACCCTGAATTGAACGCCTCTAAAAAAGATGTCAGATTAACTACTAATAGTGTTTTATAAGAAAACCTAGAAAAAATATTTTCGTTATTTTAGGGGAAACGAGGGGAAAAGATTTAACACCAAGAAAAAGGAAATTATATTTTTTTAATAAAACTCAAAACAAAATAGAATAACTAAATTAAGAAATAAACTTAAATTTTCCAAAGACAAATTAATTAAAGACTGCCTATGGATTTTCTAAAAATGAAATGTTTAAAGAATTAGAAGAGATCCAGCCATGGCATCATTTTTTAAAAATTCATTTGATAATGTTAAATTAAAAAAACCACAATGGTTCCTTCGCGACAAAGCATTTGCTTTAGCTCTATACAAAAGAGGGCCAAAATCTTACAGGTTCTTAAAAAGAGGACTACCATTACCCAGCCAAACGACTCTCAAAAATTTGCTTAAAATGGTCCCTTTTGAATCAGGTATAGATTCTCAGTTCTGACAAGGCTATCGAAAAGAATTGGATATAGAGAGATGCTGCTCCTTGATCTTTGATGAGATATCTTTAACGGAGCAGTGTACCAATAATAAATCTTTCGAATAAGGATTTTATTACAATACACCTATGTAATGCTCATGTGATAAAAATACTGTCAAAAGATTTAAAAAATATATTAACAATTTTCGGATAGAAATGATACTAAAGAATATTTTTGCCCAAGGCATGAAAATTAAAAATATCAGTTCTTTTATAATTTAATTTACAAATTTGACGATTATTTTTATTTAAAAATTTAAAGATGATCAGTGTTTAAAAGCATTTGACACCCTAGTATCTGAAAAGCTTAACAAACCAATTTTTAAAGATATTTTTAGCTATACTGTTGGCCACAATGATTTCATATGGAATATATTCCTGTGTATCTCTCGAGTCCCTTTTATAAGTACTTTCAAGATAAAATATAAACCAAACCAAACCATTTATTTAATGCAGGAGCGAAGTTCGCCAACCCATTAAAACCAACCAACCCACCAACACCAACAAAACTTTTTAAGCAACCACCCCACCACCACCAACACTTATTTTTAATAATGGATAACCAATCATTATCAAACGTAAGCTTATTAAGCAACATTCCACCCACAAGTGATAGCCTCACACCAGATGATGAAGATCCCTTCTCATCTCCTCGATTGATGGCAATATTCGGACAGGGCATAATTGTCCAAGAAAACAGAATATCCCTAGACCAAGCCACAATTGAGCCGAAACCCTTTACAGAGTCAATCTTAAAGGAATTTGAGAACTTGGATGTTGATATATCTTCTCCCTCGAAACAAAGAGACTTTGTTACTAAACAAGTCAGATCCAGGGAAGAATTCTCTGCCGCTACTTTCAAAGTTAGCCCCCAGAAGATATCTGTCACAAACCAAATCCAGAAGTCTCTCACCAAAGGTAAAAAGGAGGTGACATTCTTAGGATGCACTTTCAATTTGCCTTCCATTATAGCATCAGCTATCCCCTCCGTTTCACAGGGACTCGATATTTATATTGAAGAACTGTGCAACGCCCTTTCAGTAACGTATACTTTGCATAACCAAGCTATTGATGTACCCGCTTCAATAGATGCAATGATAGGGAAGGCCTCCCAGTATACACTGAAACTCACAACCAACCCTAATAGACGTCGTGTTTACACGCGACTGCTAACAGCCCAAATCTTTGAAAAGATCCTCTACCACAATATCATGTATAAAAATTCCCATTGATGGTCAGAACAACAACGAATTCTACAACAAGTGAATATTAAATCAAAGTGATCATCCATGTATTAAAGAAATGTCGGTTCCTTTTTGTGTAAAATCATACAGTTTAAAAAAGTTTTTAATCTTGCAAAAACAGCGAATAAATGATAACCTCCCTCTTTTATATTTTGACGCTACAGGAAATATTGTAAGTAATCCAACTGATCATAAAAGAGGGTATATTTATACTACAGTGGTTTTAATTAACCGACAAAGAGAATTGTTCCTATCTTTGAGATGATTAGTAGAAAATCATTTTTAAAATTTTCCACGATTTAGAAGTATCTTCTATTGAACTGCCTTTCAGCTTTGCAAATCTACATGCAATTACTAAAGCTTGCAATGGGATATCTTTAACTGAATATCTACAAATATGTTTTAAGATTTGCATTAATAAAAGTGACCTTTCGAATAAGGACTTTATTACATACACCTATATAGTGCCCATATGATAAAAATGCTGTTAAAAGATTTAAAAAATATATTAACAATTTTGGGATAGAATGATACTGAAGGATATTTTTGCCCAAGGCATGAAAATTAAAAATATCAATTCTTTTACAACATGGTTTACAAACTTGGCGATTATTTTAAATTCAAAATTTAAAGATGATCAGTGTTTATAAAGCATTTGACACCCTAGTATAAATAAAGCTTAACAAGCTAATTGATGAAGATATTTTTAGCTATACTGTTGGCCACAATGATCTCATACGGAATATATTCCTTTGTATCTCTCGAGTCCCTTTTATAAGTACTTTCAAGATAAAATATCAAGTATAAAAATTCCCACTGATGGTCACAACAACGAATTCTACAGCAAGTGAATATTAATGCAAAGTGATCATCCATGTATTAAAGAAGTATCGGTTCTTTTTGTGTAAAATCATACAGTTTTTAGAAAAGTTTTTAATCTTGCAAAAACAGCGAATAAACTATAACCTCCCTCTTTTATATTTTGACGCTACAGGAAATATTGTAAGTAATCCCACTGATGATAATAAGACGCTATAATTAAGCTGCAGTGGTTTTAATTAACCGACAAAGAGAATTGTTCCTATATTTGAGATGATTAGTAGAAAATCATTTTTAAAATTTTCCACCATTTTAAAAGTATCTGCTATTGAGCTGACATTCAGCTTTGCAAATCTACATGCAATTACTAAAGATTGCAATGGGATATCTTTAACTGACTATTTGCAAATATGTCTTAGGTTTTGCATTAATAAAAGTGACCTTTCGAATAAGGATTTTATTACAATACATCTATGTAATGCCCATATGATAAAAATGCAGTCAAAAGATTTAAAAAATATATTAACAATTTTGGGATAGAAATGATACTAAAGGATATTCTTGCCCAAAGCATGAAAATTAAAAATATCAGTTCTTTTACAATATAATTTACAAACTTGGCGATTATTTTAAATTCAAAATTTAAAGATGATCCGTCTTTAAAAGCATTTGATACCCTATAAAAGAGGGTATATTTATACTGCAGTGGTTTTAATTAACCGACAAAGAGAATTGTTCCTATATTAGAGATGATTAGTAGAAAATCATTTTTAAAATTTTCCACGATTTAGAAATAGGGTAAACCACCCAGTTATTGGACATGTAGCAGTTATTAGACACTTTAGTTTTACAAAACAAAAATAAGATTTCTTTTTGATCTATTTTCTTCGATTTCGCATAGATGGCATTAAAAAACATTTATGTGGCGGCTGCGCATAATGCGCCATCTTTAAAATTTGTTTTGGCGGGAAAATTTACATCAGCTGTTGATTGTGTCGAATACCGGAATTTTTCTTACGATATCGTTAAGAACCCGTTTTCGTGACAAGTGAGGTGCTAAGTGTAAAATAAGGTATGTAATGACGTTTCACTAAGTATACACAGAGCAAATATCATTTTTCACATGTTTTTGCATGCTTAAAACGCATTTCACGAAGAGTAAAGTTAGATTTGGGGGGTGTCCAATAACTAAACTTGATAACCAATTTTTTTCAGTTATTAGACACCTGTCCAATTACTACTTTTCCTAAAATCATTAGGTCTTACATTACCTAAAAATGCCCGTTTTCTGCTGAATCTTATAACACAAGAAACGTTGGCATATAAGTACCCAAAGCAGTTATTGGACGCCTGTCCAATAACTAAATAAAGTTATGTCCAATAACTAACACGCTTGTTTTTGTAGGTTAACATAATGCCTAAAAGATCTGTATATGATTCCGATCTTGTTGAGCCTGCAGTGCAGGATGTAAAAACTGGCAAACTCTCACTAAGGGCAGCTGCAAAAAAATATGGCGTGCCAAAATCTACCATTGAATTTAAAATGAAAAACCCGGGACACAAAGATACATGTGGGCCGCCTCCGATACTTACAGCAAAAGAGGAATATGTGCTGGTCGAGTAAGAATTTAGGGCTCATGTAAGGGCTTTCTTGATTTTTATAAAATTTGATTATTTCCTTAGATGGATAGTGGAACTTGCCAAACGTGGGTTTCCACGTAAAAAGGAAGATATCCTTAATAGCGTCCAAAAATTTTTGCTGGAGAATCCCCGACCTAATCCCTTTAAAAATAATAGACCAGGAGACTGCTGGTTTAAGGTAAAATAGGTAGGTACTGGCTAATAATTTTTTTGTTTAATTTTGGTTTACTGCATTAATAGGCTTTTCTTCGAAGACATCCCAGTATAGTGCAAAGAACTAGTGAGGCTGTAAGTTCAGCTAGCGCATGTGTATCGGAAGCGGATATCCGAAAATGGTTTGCTGAAATTAAAATTTACCTCAAATCTAAAGATATTGATATGGAAGATCCGTCCCGTATATTTAACGGGGATGAAACTGGTTTTCAAATTTGCCCTCAGACGGGTAAAGTTTTTGCCGCAAAGGGGGAGAAAAATGTATATTCAATTGAAAAAGGTTCTGCAAAAGATAATATTACCGTTATGTTTTCGTTTGCTGCTTCAGGGATAATGTGCCCACCTATGATCATCTTCCCGTACAAGAGAATACCTGAGAAAATTGCTGTTACTGTAAACTCGTCTTGGGGAATCGGTCGTTCAGATAATGGGTGGATGACATCTGAGACTTTTTATGAATATATTAAGAATATTTTTTACCCCCATTTGATAGAAAATAATATTCAGTTTCCAGTGGTTCTTTTTTTGGACGGACATAAGTCTCATTTAACGTATGAACTCAGTTTACTCTGTAATGAACTGAATATAGAGGTCATCGCTTTATATCCCAACGCAACCAGGATTTTACAGCCCTGTGATGTTGCTGTTTTTAGGCCAGTAAAAATGGGCTGGAAGAAAGCGGTTAGACAATTTTATGAAGAAAAACCCGGAGAAGTTTTAAACAAAACATCATTTGCTCCACTTCTAGAAAAAGTTGTCACTGAAGTAATCCAGCCCAATATATTAATAAATGGATTTAGGGCATGCGGGTTGTTTCCCTTTAGCCCAGATAATGTAGATTATTCAAAGTGTTTAGGGGGAACCAATAAATCTGTTAGAGTAAACAATTTATATAATTTTAGTTTTCAGCTTATGATTTAACACCATTTTTTTTTGCTTTCTTATACAGGAAATACCAGATCCAGGAGCCCAGTTGAATCACGACAAGTTTCTTTATTTTGTCGGAAAAGAACTTTTACAAAAATTTAAACAGTTTGATACAGTGGTTATAAAGGAAGGATTTAATGATGAGTTCTTAAAACTTCATCAAATGTGGTCATTCTTAGGTAAACCCGATGCAATTAAAAATGATGACTTACGCTATCCTATTCTAAATGACACTAACAATGCAGTAGAACTCACTACCGCAAATGCAGAAAGTGAAATTAAGAAGCTAGGTAAAATAAATATCATTCAAAATATAGTTGTTACAAAGGCTACTTTCCCAGAAAGAGGTTATGAAAATTTGGCTAGTATTGAAATCCCCTCTTTAGAATTTAACAATATAGAGCCCGAAAGTCTACAGGGTTCAACTAGAGCATTACCTTTCGCCTTAAGTCTACCTTCAACAAGTAAATGTCCGATGGAATCCGATGCAAATTTTGTAGACGAATCTGCAAAGTTGGAACAAATAGTTTCACGACCTGAAAGTTCTGTGGCCATTAACGAGAATGAGATCCATTTTGCCGATTCCAGCGTTTTAAATATTCCAACAACTGAAGAACCTACCGATACCCTTTCGAAGCCCGATATAGTCTCTCCCGATATTTCCAGCGTAGCGTTAAAGAAGAAAAGTATTGTTGAATACCTTGAAATTCCAAAAAAACCTGAAAGAAAAGCTAAACGAAACGTTGAACGGGTTCCCTTTGCGATTACTTCTAAATCATATCAGGAATCATTTGAGGCTAAACGTGCTCTAAAACTAAAAGAGGAAACAAAAAAATTGGAGAGAAAAAGGCAGAGGGAAGAAAAAATGTCAACAGCAAAAAATAAAAAACTTCATAAATCGGAAACAAAATATAATCAATGTTTTATATGTAAAAAGTCTATCATAAAGGGCCGACGATTAAAATGTGACACATGTAAAAAAGATTTTCATGAACGCTGTATCCCAAAATCTCACAAGGACCATATTCCTGTAGAAGATGATGACCTGTTTTTGTGTCACATATGTTATAAGGAAGAAAGTGACGACAACTCTGAAAGTAATCAAAGTGAAGAAGGAAATGAAGTAAAAGACTTAAGAAATTATACTAATACAAGTGAATTAAAAAATACTGACAATCAGAAAAATATTATTTCAGAAGAAGACAATAAAATCATAGAAGAAGAAATAGACGATTTGTATAATTACTACCTACAGAACAAAGACAAATAAATGGAAATACCAGTAAAGAAAAAAAAATGTTTTATTTCATGATTACATAAATCCCCAACAATAGGTAAATAGGTAGGTACCACGATTTAAGTTCAGATTAAGCTAAAAATTGTGTTAAAACAATTGTACCTAACCTGTCCAATAACTGCCAAAAACGGTGTCCAAAAACTAAATAAAGTGTCCATTAACTAATTTTTTTGAACCTTGTTTAAATTTTACATTTTTATTCAAAAAGGAACACTAAATTCGCTAAATAAAACAGAGAAGTGATAAAAGAAAAGAAATACCTTTCCATTTCTGCAAATGCTGCGCAGATAAAATCAATGGTAAATTTTCTATGAGCAAATTAAAACAAAAAATATCTTCCAATAACTGGGTGGTTTACCCTATCTTCTATTGAACTGACTTTCAGCTTTGCAAATCTACATGCAATTTACTAAAGCTTGCAATGGGATATCTTTAACTGAATATTTGCAAATATGTCTTAGGTTTTGCATTAATAAAAGTGACCTTTCGAATAAAGATTTTATTACAATACACCTATGTAATGCTCATATGATAAAAATACTGTCAAAAGATTCAAAAAATATATTAATAATTTTCGGATAGAAATGATACTAAATGATATTTTTGCCCAAGGCATGAAAATTAAAAATATAAATTATTTTACTACATGGTTTACAAACTTGGCGATTATTTTAAATTCAAAATTTAAAGATGATCCGTGAGTAGTAATACAATGGTGCTGCTATGACACCTTATGGCTTCAAAAGGGTGTTAAAGATGGCGGCCATTTCCAAGATGTTAAAGATGGTGGCCATTTCCTGACCTATCCAGATTCGGATTGGTTTGGTTTGGTTTGGCCAGTATTGCCAAATTTATATTTTTTCTATTTTTTTAATATTTTTGTTTTTTTTTGTCTTTTTTTTTTTTTTTTTTTTGGGGGGGGGGCTGTGGTAAAAAAGTCTAAACAATGGGCCTGCGCAATGCAGCCTAACCAATTCCACCAAAAAATATACATAACAATAATAAAAAGTAAACATATTATTATAACAATATTATTTGCTCACCCCGTATATCGAATATAATCTTATGCAAGGCGCCCGCCCAGCCCAGCCGTTAAAAGTCACAGTTCATTTAATTTCTGCGTCTCGTATGATAATTAAAAAGGGAACGGCTACCATTACTGCCGTTTGCATAAGTAATTGGCGAATGCATGATCTTACGCAACGCGCTCGCCCAGCCAACCACTTCAAGGTGTGGCAATATGTTGCCTTTCTTAGCGAGCAACTGGTAGTAACTACGATCTTTTAGTTACTTACTTGTATTAATCGTGATAATAGGTCGTCGTCGTTGTCGTCGTCATCATCGTAGTCGTTAGAGTTAACGCGATGTCTGTTTTAAAGTTTAAAAAGGTGTCATCGGATGCGTTCGTTCCGGTTAGAGCAACCCCATTATCAGCGGGATTGGATTTATTCAGTCCTCTCGATTGTACAATCGCCCCGCAATCAAAATTATTGATAAATTGACCGTGGAAATTCCTGAGGATCTTTTGAAGATTGAAGCTCGGTCAAGTTTGGCTTTGAACTATTCCATTCTTTGGGGTGGTAAATTTTGCCACTAATAAAATATTCATTATTTATTTTTTTGTTTTCTTCATTCCAGCTGGTGTTATTGATGAAGACTATCGGGGCGAAGTTAAAATTTTGTTATTTAATATTAGTAATAAAAAGTTTGAAATTAAACGGGGGGACCGAATAGCACAGATGATTTGCCATAAAATTGAGTATCCCTCGCTGATTGAATGTACCGATATGTCAATAGAAACTGTTCGAGGCACAAAGGGTTTTGGATCATCATAAAAAAATGTTTTTAATGTAGGTAATATTTTCAAATTATATGAAAAAATAAACACTCAACGAAAATAATTTAATGTTTTATTTCTTTTTTTAAAAAAATCTACCCAAACAATATCTATAGTCTGATATAAATATTTTTTAAAAAAAAATATTTTTTGGAGGTAAAATATAAATTTGTCCATTTAAAAATTAGTTATTTTTCACCTAAAACAATCTATAGCATGCTTTAAGCAATATTCTCTTACATAGTTTTTAGTGCAAAATTTTATATTTGGACTTTTATTTAAAAGTGTTTATTTATTTTAACTTAAATATTTTTAAGGAACTTTTTTATTATTTTTCCTTCATCAACAATAGTATATTAGGTGACAAATTTTTAAAAATGTAATAAAAGAAAAGAAAAATAATATTTCTTAATAATATTAATAAAGCGAATAAAAAGATTAAAAGCGAGTCTTAACTTGTCTTTGATGGATATATGCAATTTCACTTTTTATGGAATAACGGTAAAGCTGCTACCTTGTTGAATGTCAAGGATAATGCTCAATTAGTATGCAATGGCGTGTAAGAGAATAATAATTTTCTGTTCAGGTTATTCAAGATTGTATTTATAAGAAAACAACATATTTTTGTAATACACATTTATTGAACATATGTTTTTATAATTATTAATATTTTATAGGAAACACCGATCTGAAAGAAAAATATTATTAGTTATTTTTGAAAATAATTTTCATATTTAGTAATACCTAATTTCTTGGTTTATATTGACCAGCGTTGTACCTACGCCAATTTTTCCTTTCATTTCTTGAAAGGAACGGCGGCTGTGGATCGTATTCAAATGCCGGCTCTAATTGATTGGTCTTCAATGCCTCGTTGAAGTCGCTATTATAATTTTCTTTTCTCTTTTTGCATTTTAACATATGATTAAAAATGCGCGACTTAAACACCTGGTGACTTCGGTTGTATGGACAAAGTGCATATTCCCCAAATATAATTGGCCGCGGCATTGAGGTACCGGATGAGGAAGGACAGTTACTGGCTTCATCTATCAAAAATAAAAAAATATATTTTTGTTATGAAAATGTTAAAATAAAAATTTAATAATGTTGACTTACATTTATAGTATTAGTTAAATGAATCATAGTGGGGGAGTTTAAGGTAATTAAAATTATTGAAGATTATATGTAATTATTATTAATTTATTATTTCAGTTTTATGATATCCCCATGGTAATGTGTCGGTATAAATATAATTAATCATTCTTTTATCGTCATAAGGACGCAAGGCAATATTTTTCTGTGTAACACTATAGACATGATAAGCTAGATTATTAAATTTTGACTTGTTTCCAAAATAGTCTTATTAAATAAACATTGAAAGTAATCATCAAAAGTAATTTTCTTTAGAGCTGAACTTTTTATTCCTTTTACTTTTTTTGTAATATTTAAATCACTCTCCTTATTATTTTCCATACTTTCCATTTTGTTTAAAGATTTCTGTTGCGAATTGTTCATGTAAAGTTTAAAAGTATACATTTTCGATCTCAGGCCAATAAATTCATGCATTACTTTACCATTATTTTCATCTTTCATTAATCCTAAAACTTTCTTATTTCTCTTAAAGGAATATTGTAAATGTTATCGGGATCATAATTTGATGTATCAAATTTATGAATATCATTCTTTATATGTGTGTATATATTATCATCAAAAATGTGGTAAATTAGAGAATCTGTGTCAGTATACAATAATTTGAGGTTTTGAAAATTTTTTTTTGCATATAATTATAACGAAATTCGTAAAGAAATGTCTTGGATAAATCTAGAACAGTGAAACCAACATAATAGGCTTAATAATAAGATGACCTGTCCATTTCATTACAATCTTATATTGTCGAATTAGAACCGTTAAAAATTGGTTCAGATATGTAATCACGTGCCCCATACCGTCCCGCCCACCTAGTAACCAACTTAATATTGTTAAGGTCAAGGTGTATTACTGGTTGCATAACCGCAACGTGCCTTGAGGAACCTGGCGCATTCGCCAGAAAGTAAAGAAAATTATAGAATTCTTTAGAAAAATCTAGAAACAACCGCCAGGGGGTATATAAGGCCCGCGCTTTGAAGTTTAAAGTTTGAAGTCAAGTCTGAAGATAGTCTGAAGTTTGATAATACCGCGAAATACCGTTAGAGTAATAGTAGTTGCATAAGTTGTGTTGTAAATAGTATAAGTTGTGTGTACAGAGTGAAACAAATAAATTCGTTAAGTATTTTATCGTGAGTTTAAATAGTGGACCCACGGAATCCGTAACAATTGGTGTCAGAAGTGGGTTTCAAGAGGATTTTAAGAATAAATTAAGTGGATTGGAAGATTTTTAGACCGATTTATTTTTATGGTTGGTACAAGAGAACAAGCGAAGAAAATGGAGGAAGTAAGCAAATTATTGGGCGATTTATGGAGAATATGAGAAGAGAGAAGGCAGAAGAACAAGAAAGACTACGTAGAGAAAAAGAAGAGGAAAAACTACGACGTCAAGAAGAACAAGACCAACTACAGAAAATGCTTATGGAGAATCAAGAAATTAGACAAGAACGGTTGGAGAAAAATGTAGAAAAATCTGAAGTGTCGCCAGAAAGATAAACAAGAAGAACAGGACCGGCTTGAGAAAATATTAGGAAATCTAGAAATTCGTTTGGAGGAGCGACGTCAAAAAGAAAGACAAGAAGAACAGGACCATATTCAGAAAATTTTAGAAAATCAAGAAATTAGACAAGAACGGTTGGAGAAGATTTAGAAGTGCGTCGCCAGAAAGAAAAATTAGAAGATCAAAACCGTTTTAAGAAGAACTTTGAAGAACTGGAAAAAAGGCAAGACATTCACCTTCAAGAAGCCGTAGAAGGTCTTGAGGAACGCCTTCAGCAAAAAATTGAAAAATTAGAGATGGACCTACAGAAGACCAAGGTACAAGTAAAGACACCTGGCGTTCAAGGAACAGCGAACCTTAAGGCCCCGACCTACGATGGACAAACGACATGGACAATGTACCACCGTCAGTTTGAAGCCGCTGCCAACGGATGGACTGACCAGGAGAAAGCAGCGGCACTTGTCATCGCGCTGCGTGGCCCCGCCCTGGAACTGTTGCAAACTATCCCTGCAGCCCAACAGCAGGAATACTAAACTTTGGTCGCTGCACTAGACAGAAGATATGGCGACCAACAACGACGCCAACTTTACCAGGCCCAGATCAAGACACGCCTGTAGAGGTCCGGAGAGAGTCCGCAGGAATTTGAAGCAGATTTACGTCGGCTGGTACACCTAGCGTATCCTGAAGCACTGGAAGGATTTAGGGAGGAACTCGCTGCCCAGTGTTTTATCTGCGGACTGAGGGACAACGAGTTACAGAGGGCGCTGCAAATATCCTGATTTTCTACCAGCAGCGAAGCACCGGTCAGGGCGCTGGAAATTGAAGCTGCTTTTAGC